AGTGAACGAGCGGTGTCGGAAGGAAGTTCTCGCAGGAATCATGGTATATCTCCCTGTCACGCCTAAATCACTACGGGGTCTCAAGGGTACCCATGACTTGTGGAGGCTTCCAAGAAGTCTTAGACCTGCTGTTGAGATAGCCCTGCTTACTTGATGTGGCCTGCAGATCTCGAAGTCCTTCCTCCGGGATCTTGATGTATCCCGCATGCCCTGCTTTGGAAAGAGCGGTGGTCCTCATAGCACCCCTCCTTGAGATGTTGCTTTAGGTGAGGGATCGTGAGGGTAGGGGAAAGAAGCTTGGCAGGACTTTGCAATCCAAAGGGTACCACAACATACCAACGCAGCCCTTTCAGATCCAGGATTCTTGTTGCTCAACCCCTCCAGAACACAAGTGTGTCAAGGCTACATGATGCACATCATGTCGGTCGGCAATGGTGTGAAGGCGCATCTTGGTGCAATTTCATACTATCACCAGAAGCTCAGCCTAGCCCTGGTTCTCAGGTGGGTCCTTGAGTCTGGTGGGTACCTGCATACTATCAACAATGACAAAAGACGGCCTTGTGTACAAAAAGGCAGAGGTCAGCAACCCTAAACCCTAAACCCCTAAACCCTAAACCCCTAAACCCTAAACCCTAAATCCCTAAACCCACAGCCTATAAGTCCAGACTTGGAAGAAGGGAGTGCTCAAGGAAAATGCGAAAAAAGTCTGAGGGAAGGGTTGCTGAAGCTACCAGGCCTTGGTTAAGCGAAACACAGAGCCCTATATACGCCCCAAAGCAGAATCGTCAGACCCTAGACGCATAAGTTGGCCCATAAACTCTAGAAAATGTCCCTGCAGCTTGATAAATCCTAGAACTCCAACCCCCAAAGCTGAGACCAAAAAAGGGTTGTTTCCATTTTCTTCTCCATTATTCCCCATATAACCCTACCCTAAACCCTGAACAATCTACCGAGGACTCTTTGCGGCCGGGAAGGCCTGCATATTGTCAACTCCCTCCACCGAGACGTCTCGAAGCTCACAGGGTTTGAGGCTTCATGATTTAGGGCTTAGGGCGCATGGTTTAGGGTTCAGGGTTTAGGATTCAGTGTTTAGGGTCTAGGGTAGTATAGGGGAATGGGAAAGACAGTGGAAGCCACTATTTAATGTAGGGTTCAGGGTCATACAGGGGAATAATGAAGAGAACGTGGAAACTACTGTATAGTTCAAAATTTAGGGTTTGAGGGTTTAGAGGGCTCAGGTTGTAGGGAGGTCAAGAGCACCCCTGTAATGCTGAGGATCCCGATTTGAGATGCCGTGCTGAACGCTGACTTGAATAATTTAGATTTCTCCCAAGTGCGAAATATTCGGGTCTTTATTATAAAGTACCCATCAAAGGGAGGAATGCTCCCGAACTGCACTTTGCTGTTTTCTCGGCCTGGATTTATGGTGTGCCCGATGCCTTTGGGTATTGCTGCTTTCTAATCTTGAGCATCGCAACTTCCAGCAACAATTCCCCATGTAGCTGGTGAAGTCATTCACTCATTCTATATCTTGAGGTCCAGCAGCCTGAATACGGATCTAGACCTCCATGCAAGGCTGAAGCCCCCGCAAATGTCCGTGCTCAACTTTCACCTTTTCGGTTCTGAATTTACCGACATCTGGGTTCTCCCTATGAAGGGGTTTCCCTACAGGGTGAAGAGATGAGTCTTATCCTGGTTCTGCCTCCGGGACACTTCAAGTATGCGTCGCTGCTGCTTCGCCGTAGCACTGGGCAGCAGCAGCTTTAGGGTTCAGGGTTTAGGGCTGTAGGATCCCATCTGTTCGTCTTGTCGAATCAGATTTGAATTATCAAGTGCGCTGCCCAATGCAGAGCAGAAAACGATCCTTGTTGAAGCTGTCCATGCAAAACTCCAGTCTGATCCCAGGAAGTGCAAGAGGCTGTGTGACACTGGACTGTGCGGCGTGGTGGGTCGCAAGAGGGTGTGGCTCCTGGACATGCGATGAACTGTTCAAACGCAGCCAATCGCAGTTTGTGCGCACAGTTACAAGTACTGGCTCATGTTTTAGCTGTTGTTGTATGCGCTTGGTAGTCAGAAGATGGACGGAACTGGGATTGGCGATTCACAGCTGTGCAATTTGCGATTCCACTGCCAGCTGTAGCAACGGCAGGTTATCGTCTTCCCGCCAGACGCGTTCCCAGCCAGCGCTACGGTCCTTCGAAGCCCCGACACTTGAAGATAAACTGTGGAGTCCAGATCAGGATTAGGATGCCTCGTGGCTGGTGACTTGTGCGCACTTTCATCATGGCATTGGCTTTACGCCTCAAGAAAGTTATTCATTTCCAGCCACAAGGAGCTTAAGCGCACTCTAAGCACTGAGAATTATATTAAGCAGCTGCAGTATCCTAGCGCTTCCAGCATGCCATCGGCTGTATAAGCCATATTCGCAAAGAAAGTTACATGTCTGACTATCAGGAGAGCATTTCGAATCATGGTTGGGAGAAGATGTGTGCTTGCAAGTCTATATAGGTGCAAAACTACAAGGAATCGGAGATGTTTGGCCAGCAGGAAACTATAGCAGTAGTTCCCAAAATTAGGGTCCCATTTCGGTACCCCTAGATTTTAGGTGCCGGTAGCAATATAATCTATAGCCAAAAGGGGCCCATGATTCTGAGAACAACCCATAGGATGATAAGGCTTTGGGCATCCTGGGTCTTTGCATTGTGTTAGCTGAATAGTAATAATACTGGAAGTAATGGTAATCATAGTAATATTATAAGTAATAATACAAGTAATAATATTAATAGCGAAAGGAATAATGGTTGAATACGTCTCATGTTTGAACATGTTTATAGTCCTGCACAGCACTTTATAGCAGCTTCTATGCCTGGAAGCGCTGAGGACATGACTAGCGACAAGCTGAAGCCGCTCTGCCCCTTGGGAGCACATGGGGGTTTCAATATAACATAGCTCATGTCTGGAACAGTAAGCTAGGACAGCTTCCAACAAAATGTGCACTGATCCCGCCGCCACCGCTTCTAGAGTAGTGGCAGTGGCTGAGTCTGGCCCTTTTTGGAAGGTGGTATGCCCCGAGTGGGGACACATTTTACTTCTGTACCTGAGCCACGCTTCTTCTTCACTACCGCTGCAAAGCTGTGAGGCGATCTCTCCGAGGACGAAGCGTGGAATCGGCTGGAGGCCTCCTCATCTTCATGTCCACTTATGGACCTTCAGATCCTCACACGCAAATGTCAGCGCTACGTGCACGCTCTATGCTCAGTTGGGTAAAATCAGGTGGATTTTTACGATCACCCTCTTCCGCATGCCCCGACACATGGGGCACTTTCAGCATAGATCTCGCGCGAGGAGATGGCGCAGCAGCCAGGTACCAAGGGCGGGGTCGCTGGGATGCAGTCAGGAGCTCTTGTTGTTACAATGCCTGAAGGCTCTTCCTACCTCCACAAGTTGCAGTTTCTGTTACTGGGGTCTATGTTGCCTCGGGATCTTCCCTTGGAAGTTGACCTATGTTGCACAATGGCAGGGTCCTCAAGGGTTTGAAGCCCCCAAATCATGAAGTCCTGGACGCATGCATAGTCAGGCAGGTTTCGAGACCTTCTTATCTCCTTGGCACTTAGCTAAGATCTACCTTTTGGCGATTCCCCTATTTTCCCATTACAGGTACCTTAACTTGTAGTAGGGGTGCTAGTTGCCATGGTGCTATATAGGTTTGTATGAAACCGCCGCAAAGCATTCCATGAACTCGGCTCCCTCAACCGGTAAAAACTATAAGCCCTTTGCCCCCAACAGGTTCGTTGTCGCTTTCTTCTTGTAAGGACCCTAGAAACGGGATCCATGATTTTGCCAAACCTCTTTAAAGCAGGTGGTGAACCTTGAGCCTGGTATGTTCTTCTTCATCCCCCACGGATGGTGGCATGCCGCCGCATCCTCAGTGCAGACTTAGGATCCATGTAGACCACTTTGAAACTAGTTAGGGATTAGGGTTTAGGGTTTAGGGTGCAGTCTTTGTAGGGTTCTTTTTCGGGACCATTTTAGTTTAGGTGAGCGTATAATTCCCTGGTTCAGACATCCGCGTGCTTACTGGTGAAGTAGCTGCTATGCTGTAGAGCTTGGGGACTAGAAGGTACTGTGATGATTCTTTCGGGGGCGGGAATCGGGGATGGCACTAGCAGGGTAGTCGGCTTTGGTCGATCATTACTATGCAGTGGCTTACATGTTTGAGCATGATTTGTTGTTCCCCCGCAAGTTCATTTCGCAAATTCTTAATACTTGCTATCACCTAACAGCGGGAAACCTGGCACAACCCACTGAACTTACTGGTGGCTACTCGAAGTAGGGAATCAGGGAATATTGTAATCCCTATATAGTATATTCCCTGATTCCCTACTGTACTAACCGCCAGGAAGGACGGCAAACCCCCGGATGTTGCATCAGGTCCGGCCCATCGATGACTTCACCTTTATCACGGGACCCTCCCAGCTATCTTTGTTGGGAGCTGCGACCGCGTAAAATGCGCGAATGGCATACTGGGGAATTGGAGGGAATAGGGGGAATATATGATACAGGGACTATGTTGGGCATATATACGGATTATATTCCTTTATCCCCTATAGACGCCACTAAGTAAAATGATCGAATGGTGGAATGGCCGCCACGGGGGTCCTCAAAACTGTTTGTACTTTGTTGGAGTCGCTGTGGAATGTACTGTGCTATGTAAGGGTTTGCAGGGACACCTCAGCCTAACTGTTACTGCTGATGTATACAGTGAGATGCTCTGGCACCGCAGCATGTAGCCTGCGAGGCACCAAATTCAATCCCTGCTAGCTTCCTAAAGCCAGCGTCATTGAATTCCAGGGGTGGTAAATCACACAGAGCAGTCAGCGGGTAGCAGAAGCGTCACAGCAAGATCGAGGCTCCCTGCTCATCAGGTGTGAGCAGGGTAGGTCGCAGGAACTGTGAGCAAGTTTCTCTATGGCACTTCTCTGGTGCAGGCTGCAGCCATCATGGCTCCGGTGCTAAACATCATCAATGAGACCTGCGCCTTGCTCGCGCTGAGCACGCGCCGGCTCAGCCTACAGCGCAGTCCGGCTTCGCCGTCTTGGGTGGATGACGTGGACGTGCTTGTCAGGGACCATGGCCCTGTCTTTCCGGTTGCCGTGCCATGGGGCATGGCTTTGGCCACGCCTTGGGCCCAAGAGATCCATGAAACCTCAGGGACCCTCAACAGCCTCAACTCGAAAGCCGATGTGATGGAGTTTCATGGTATGACACACACCACGCTCAGTGCCGGTGGTCAGCTTGGAGAGCTTCTTCTTCTGCCGCAATATGAGGGCAACCCTGCGAGCATGTTGTTCACAAGGTCTCTGTCGGGAATTCCCGGGTACTTTCATGGAGTCGCAGGCACTGGCTTGCATAATGTCACCTTGGAGGGCTCAGTGACCAGCCGAGGGGCCTTTCACCGCTTCCACTTTGATAGGGCGGCAGGGCAGCCAGGCCTCAACGTGATGCTGGATCCACAAGGCCTCCAGAAATCTGCATTGTCGGATTCCCAGCTGGAAGTCAAGGAGAAGGACCAGCTGCCCCAGCAGGGTCCTTCAAGCAGGGCAGTCCATGATCACTTCTATGGCCATGATTATGCGATGAGGTAGAGTGTTGGTCAGCTCTACTTGGCGATGCCTAAGCGCCTCGTGATGCCCAGCGTGAACAATATTGGATATATTAAGGATGCATCTGTTCATGATTGCAGAACCTCCCGAGATTTGCAGACAGCCCTTCACAGAATGAAATTGTCCGAGAGCCATCTACCTTTGAAATGTTAAAAAAGGCTCTAATCTGTCGTAGAGACGGCCTGCCTTCACTAATGATTTCATTGTCTGGTTTCCAATGGTAGTGGCCGGCACTTACAGTAAGAAGCCATTCGTTTTCGTCGGTTCACCAAGGCGAAGGTGTAATTGCGTGGGCCCGACAAAACGCAAGATCTGGGCAATGGACAGACCTAGTCATGGCCCACTCGCCTTACTTAAGTTGGTCCTTACAAACATGGACGCCTTCTCCGCTTGTTTTATGAGATCTGCTGCAGGAGCAGATCCTGGAGGGCTGTAGCCTAGCCCAGCGCTTTGACAAAGAAGCTGGCGAATCTCTGTGCCTGGGTCCAGCTCATGCATTCGCTTCTACTTGCGGACTGCCAGTTCCAGGATACAGCTTAAGGATGCTAAGGCTGACTCGAGTTAGGGGCTAGGGACCTAAGGGGGGTTGATTTGAAGCCAGGCATCCATTTCCTGTTACCTGCTTCTGGAACATTGGTAAATGTAGAGATTAGGGATGGGAACGTGGCACAAGAGAGTTAAGGCTCTGCTTCGCGGTGAGCTTTGACGTGCCCTTCACGCACTCGGCTACAACCTCGCAGGCCAAGCTGGTGTTCGATGGCCATCCCAAGGAGGTGAATGTGCGGGTTGGCCTAAGCCGAACCAGCCCGAGCCTCTGTTGCTTGCGACAGCTTCGGGAGGAGGGTTGCAGCAGTTAATATGTACGATTACTTGCAGGACAGAATACGCCTTGCCCCTAATTTTAGCTGCTTCTGTGCACGGTGTTGGCTGCCGCTGTCACCTGCCCCAAGGCGTGGCCTATGCCAGGCGGAACTTGAAAGCAGAGCTGGCGCAGCCACTGGACAAAGTGACTGGGTTGCCATTAATTCAGGAACTTGTATTAAGTTACCATAATGGGTATATGTAATAAATAATTAATAGGGTTTCCCCAATATAGTAACTTCAACTCAGTTCCTGAACAGCAACCCAGGTGATACTTGCGGCAAAGCAGCGCTGGCAAGATGCCTTGAGCACGGTGTTGGTGGACATGACACCGCCCGCCAGGCTCAGGCACTTCTATACAGGAGTTGGGTTTAGTCTGGACATGCAAAGGGTTAGGGTTATTATCGCATATTATAGTATATTGTTATAGTATAATATAGTACATGGTAATATATTATATTATATTATAGTATATTACAGTAAATTATGGGTAAGCCGGTCAGCCCAAACCCCACATCTACAGTCTCTACTTTGAATTCTGGCACCCTTCTCAGGACTCTATGAGTCATTGCTAGCACCACACCTTCTTTCAGAGCATGATGGTGTCTACCGGATGCCAAATCGGAAAGGAACGAGGCCCCTGCAAGGGCAGCTTTGTACGAAGTATATCGTCACATTTCCACGTATGCTTGTGGTCAAGGTAAGACTTGTGAAACATCTAGCACACCAACTGTGCTGCTATCGGCTGAGGAAGGGGGAGGTCACCAAACTCGGCGAGTTGGACACGAAGATGCCTACACGGACAAGCACTGACAAGAAGGACGTGTACAACACCGATTTCCTACCAGAAACTTGGACCTTGACAAGTTTTGTTCATCCTTCGCTGAAGTTACCACTTTGAGACCTGGTAGTTTGTAATGGACCCTCTTGCGCAGTCCAGAGAGCTATTGGATGTTTTGAGAATCCTTTGCTAATTTTTAGCCGGATCCCTGAGGGGCGCCTGTGCCTGTGTGAGAAAGTTGCATATGCTACAGTGCATAATGGAGCTTCTGCCTAGTTTGTACAAACAGCCGCTTGGATAGAGATGACCTGTATCCACACAAGGGGGCAGCGTTGGAGTTGTTTTGTTTTTTTCTACGTTGCTAGCGGGCAGGAATGTCCTGCGCTTTACTGCTGTTTGCTTTTGTGGTGTGAACGTGCGTAGAAGATTCGCTCATTGCCATCCGAGTGGTTTGGACGACTTAAGTACGAGAGCCCGACTGCAGCGATCGACAGCTTAGATACTGTTTTGGCTGAATCATGAGTTAACGCCACTGTGGCTTCGTTGTGAGGCAGGCTGCAGGTTCAAATCTTGCAAGAATCGGAATGCGTCAGAGGTGATGCTCAGCATGAAAGACGAAGGATACGAAAGGGAGGGAATCTCCTCTCGTCGCCGTAACGCCACTCAGGATCTCCTTTGAATTGCACTCGGTCACCCATAAAAAGGGACAATTGCAAGGATCCGATGGACACCCAAACCTTGTGATTGCGGACATGCTCGAAAACATCACATTCACAAAGCGCAGCCACTGTGCTTCCTGCTAAAGACCTGTCAATGCTAGCGAATAATTGCAGTCAAAAGCCAGCCGATATCAGTCATAGCATCCGCTGACTGCTTGAGGATACGTATCGCGCCCTTCATCCTTTGATGAATCTGATTCAGCCGTCAATGTCCCGAGCCTTCGGCGACTCAATGTTGGAGCTTGCCAGGCCAGGTGCGAACAAGACAAAAATAACGAAGCGGAGACGGCTCTGAAAATCATAGGTCCTCATCGATTTTTTTCATTGGGGTTATCTATGCTTGGGAAGACTTTCAAGGCTCATTCAGATGTCAGTTTCGGTACCTCATAAACCTTTTCAACCATGGAGTACAGGGCTCCGCTTTGACAAGGTCTGCTGACTCTGCTTTGCATTCGCTTTCCTGGGCATTCTACATGACTTCACAGGGTGTTTGTTGCGGAGCATACCTCAGTGGACTTTCCTCTTAAGCTCAGAAGACCCCCAGAAAGCCCTAAATCCGCTACAGTAACTCCAATCCCCGAGGCATCATCCGGAGGGCATGATCTCCAGAGATGCTTGGCAGCGCTGAGTACCTTTGGCGGGCTTTGAAGTCGGAGACCTTGGGTATTGCCCCCACTCAGCAACAGTTGGAGAATACTATATATACTCTATACATATATAGAGTATATAACATATATGTACACATATTTATATATCTGTATAGATATAGCCCTTAATATTTACCCTAGTATAGATTGTTACTGGGTGGGGGACAGTACTCAACGGATACCTGTGTTTGGGACACACACTGGGAGCCTTTGCCTTAAAGCTCGACCCCTAACCCTTTATCTCCATCCATCACAAAGACACGGGATGAGATTTCTTGAAGCCCTCGCAGCCCTTGAGCTCATCAAAGATTGCTCTGAAGAAGCAATGCGGGCCCAAACCCCCAAACCCAGGGCCGAATCTGCTGCCCGCAATTGCAACCTTTGATCAGGATTTATCGCAGGGACTCAAACTTCAGAGACATGTGCGGCTTTCGCACTTTGGCATTGTCTTTCTTAGCGCATTGTTCTCACAGGATCCAAGCGGTACCATCCTCGCTGGCCTGGCACTGCAAGGCCACTTGAACGGGAAAAGCAGATCAAGCGCTAGTCGTTTGGTGGATTTGTCTTCAATCTGTTCACCACCTTGAATCAAGTACGGAAGTTTGTTTTGGAACGAGGACCTTTCACCGACCCTCTTTTTAAAGATTGCAGTTTTGAGGGTCTAGGACTTCTTAGACAAGTATGTTTCGCCATGCTACCGTATGTACCGAAGGGATACTGATCTAGTAGCACACTTTGGCTGCACGTACGTTGATTGATTCTTGACATTTCAAGCTGCATGCGGGGGTGGCATAATCATTTAAGCTAGGTTGGAAGCTTTTGTAAACGGATGCGCTTGGGGTGGACGCAGTCATAACTGGACGCTCTCGCGAACGGACGTGCATGGGCTCCGATGAGCCTGTTGACAACACCATCTCCATGCTCCTGCCGCATGCCCTTCCCTGCATGTCCATACCCGTAAGTTTGTGCTTGCTCGCGGTCGCACAGGCTTCTCTCTCCACCCATGCTGCCCATGCCTTCGTATCCCGAAGTTCCAGCTTGTGGGTGTTTGAAGGTGTTGGATCCTCTTCTCGCAATGTCCCATAGTATCCTCGTTCAGCTGCAAAAACATCCCCACCACGATGGTCCCTTCACAGTCCTCATGTTCATGTTATTGCCCCTGTTACTGTGCTTGCATCTCATGTTGAGCAGGCACAACAAGTCTTGATACCATTAATGCTCTGCCGCCTGCAGTAAACTCCGATTTATGAATGCCCCACGTTTTGCCCTACGAGGTATCTAAATCCTGAGGACCCCAGATCCTAATAAGCCCTAGCCCCTATACAACCATGATCCCTTCCCCCCACGTAACGAATGCTTCCCCTTCCCTTCCCCAAGTTACAAAAATGCAAGCTGCCACAAAGTGTTTTTGAATGTGGGTGGCACTTTATAATTGCAGAGAAATATAGTGGACTTGATGCAACCTCAGTAAAACCAATTTAGATAAGCTAAGATCTCATAAAACATACATGAAAGCCAGGGCTTATTCCCCAGAGCGATGCCTTCGCGCTTCTGAATCGCTCGCTGCGGCTTGCAGCAGATGACCGTCCTCCGGTGAGCTCGGAAGCACGTCTGAATGGTATTACTACTTCTTCATTATTCTTATTATTGCTTTATATGTTATGACGATTATTAGTCAATCGTGTATTTTTCAATTAGTATTAGTCGTTTGCTTTCATTATTCGGGCCTGGGTCTGTGGATTGTCATGTAGCTGCGCACCATGACGGATCCACTCCCCAACGCCCAATGAAGAACCCACAGAAAGAATGTTTAGGTTGTCGAACATGAGCCAGTCAGATGTTTGAAGGTTCCAGCGGCAGTGTGTTTCTAGTTTGTTGTATCATCGTGAGAGTTTTGGTCGGGTGTGTTAATATGCTATCAGGCACTCAGTCAGGAGAGGTATCAGGCATCTGTTGTCTCCTCGTCATGGTTTTTGCTGCCCGGTGAGAATTGCAGTACCATGACGAGGATCTGGAGGGATCACATTCACGCAGCTTCACCTACTGGGGGTTAGTAGGGAATAAGGGAATAGAATCCCAAATTTATCCCAATATACTATATTCCCTTATTCCCTACTACGCCCAGTAAGCTCAAGGTTTCTTTCATTGCGGAGAGCGTGCCCGCTTCAATGTCGAAAGCGCTGGAGCAAGCACCATGGCTTTATGAGCCAACAATGTCACTGAATTGCTGTCAATCCCCTCCCCCTAATGTTAAACCCCCCCACCCCCCTAACATTAACTACAGCCAACATGTGATAATATACCACAATGGGGAGTATTTAATATTAGGGGGGTATGGGGGGTGGGGGGGGGGGTGAGGAGATTTAATCTAAGGGGGAGGGGATTACCACGGTGTAACTCTGTCATTGCAACTCTGACACAGTGTTCAGCTACTACAAAGGTGGGTACCGTTCCACTCACTAACCGCGACCACTAGATCAGTTGCTTTCTGTAGCGCACGCGCGTCACAACAGAAGCAGTTTGATTTTCGTGCCATGCCAGCGCTGTCGCATAAGTTTTCTGCAGCCCACAGAGGGTAACCAGCCCTTTCTGGAATATTAGAGAGAGAAGCATCCTAGCCCATGGCATTGATGAGGCACGTGCAGACCAATGTGCCAGCATGCTTGCCAGCAAGATGGGCCTGGGTCCAGATGCAGAGCACTTCCATACGCAGATGAAGCGTGTGTACCAGAAATGGGATCCATTGCAGCATGTCTTTGCGCCGCAAGTCCACGCACGCAAGCCCCGCAAAGTAAGCCGGCTCACTGGCGCAGCGCCGGTTCCTGCAGAGGGCACCGCATTGCAGTATCTAGGAACCCCAGTGGTACCCTTTTTCCCTTTTTTGGGTTCTGGGTTCCCATATATAATATACCAACAGAAAAAGGGTACCCTTATTGTAATATGGTTACTGGGCTACCAAGGTATTCCTTTGCAGCCAATTTCAACGTGGATGAGATGGTCCGACTGCATGGAGGGCGGGGTTCATTTCTCCAAGCCTTGGACCAGTTCCTGGGTTGCTGTTAAGGAACTTGAATTAAGTTACCATAATGGGTATATATAGTAAATAATAGGGTTTCCCCAATATCGTAACTTAATTTAAGTTCCTTAACAGCAACCCAGGTTCTTCTACCAAGAGCCGGGTACCCAGGGTGGGGATTTGTCTGGAAACTTCCAGGGTCTGTCACTGGAAGATGAGCCAGCGCTGCATGTTCCATATCTCTACGGCCTGGAGGGAGAGCTGAGCCTGGGTCTTCAACCAGCCACAAAAGGCTGCTGTGTGCATTTTTGTTTGAAAGGTTCAGGCAGGGTCTTCGTACGGCTATATCTTCATCCCGCTAAGGCATACACTTGTCTTGTTGAACAAGGTGGATCTTACAAAGAATCTTTCCCCTGAATGTCCTGCAATATCTGGAAGATGATAATCGGGGCTTTGATTTCTGTGCATGCCGCAGATGCATGTTGATGCGTTGTTGTTCGATATGTCTAGGACATGGTACTAAATGGCCTAAATGGCAGCTAGTGCAGGGATGCAGGAGTGCAACAACTCTTGCACAGCCTAAACCCCCAACCCTAGACCCTAAACCTAAACCCCAAACCCTAAACCCTAAACCCTAGACCCTAAACCCTAGATCCAAATATTTCCCCATTGAAGCCTTAGGGCAGAGTTACCCTCTAATCCTAGGAATCGCACTGCTCGACTGGTGGACACCTTGGCACTGGCCTCAGAAACTGGGTCCCCCATAGGAGTTCCTTGCGGTTTATATGAGGGTGTCCCAAACTTCGGGGTACCTTTTCAAGGGTCCCACAATAAGGATCATGGTATTTTGGGGTCTATATTGGGGTCCCCCCTATTTTGGGAAATTACCATATAGGGGTAATGTAGGAGTTCTATGGGGATAAGGGAAAAGGACATGGAAGCTACTATTTAGGGTTTAGGGTGAACGTTTTCCCAAATGAGGGTCCTTGCGCTCGAATCCTGATAGGGACGCCCAAGAAATATCATGGGCTAAAGTTGGTATCTAGAGTTGCCTGGCCTTGCTTATCCAAGAGTCTACTGGCCTTGTTCTCGTCTTTGAGGTGCCACCGTTGCTTCCAGAAATACTCGGAACTGATATTCGGGTTCTCAGGGTGGTTTGAGATCTTCTTGTTCTGTTGTGAGGCACTGCAAGGTCTCTGGACCCACTCTGTAGCAGCTTCTACTCTCTGCAAAGCCCACCCAGAAGTGTCAAAGGTCTACTTGGGGTTTGTATAGTCATATTGGGGTTATATTGGGATAATGGAAAATAACATGAAAACTACTATGTAGAGTTTATAGGGGTTAGGGTTGGAAGCCATTGGTGCCATTGCGCTTTTGTCAGCATCACCCTCCAATCCTCATATTCAAACGAGGGTTACCCAGAATTCGAGATACCTTTTTTGGGGGTCCCCAAAACAAGGACTATAGTATATGCGCCCCTTCTTTGGGAAACTACAGGATGTCAACCTCAGCCCAGCAACTAACGCTCCGCGCAACAAAAGGTGAAGACCACACTTGTAAGTTCGGATGGCCCGCGGCCCAGCGATGATCACGGGGCCCAGTCTGCCTGGGCAATTTTGAGCCACCTGGCTAGAAGAGTTACATAGAGGTCATCTTGGGAGAGTGGAAAATGAAATGGAAAGTACTATTTAGGTTTAGAGTGTAGGGTTGCATCTGGAAGGAGGTAAATCCAACATGTTTGTGCTTCGTCACTACAAACTGCATACTTATATCGTCAACAACATGTAACAGCAATAACTACAGTACACGCCCAACAGCCCTGAAGTCCGCATCGGCAGCGGAAACCATGGTTTTTTGGCTTACAGATACATCAAAAGTTCAAAAGGATGAGAACAGTCATAACTTGTAATCAGCACACCGAAGCTCCTTGTCACGACGGTGGCCGCCAGTAGTCGCTAACATGTGGTAACAATTGTAGACTAGCAGCTGTCTGACAATCCCACCCGGTACCGGCCTCGTCCAGAGAGCCACCCTAGGAAGCCGGCAAAGCCCAGCACAAAGCTTACAAACTGCTTCTGCAACATTCTGCCCCAGGTTTCCTGGGCATGTACCCTGTGGACCCTTGCTCTGGCGACTTCATTCTGGGCCGTCCGTTCGTGTCCCACGCTTCGTTGAAAGTTCCCGGGGGCGAGCTGCAGATCCGCGTCCACAACCAAGGCATGCGTTTGTCTTCGGGTTGCGCGGGGTTTGGGCTCAGGGGGCTGGGGGGTAGGGTTTGGAGTTTAGGGTTTGGGTTGCTGGGTTTGGGGTTTGGGATGTGGGGCTCAGGGCTCTCAGTGGGTGGCCGTGAAGATCAAGATTCCAGGGTGCCCGAATGTTTTCGTCAATTGTCCCCTCCTTAGGCACCTGGACGCACTGTATTCTAGCGTCAAATTGCAAGCCGCCATGTTAAGATCTCAAGTGGCACTGCAAACGCTAGCTGCAAAAGAGCTTCTAAATGTTCAGGCTCCTTTTTGGTACATCCTGTCAAATCTGTTGTTCCAGTGGGCTCTGAGAGACTTAGTTTTGAAAGACTGAATTCACAGGCGGCACATTGCTACCAACCAGAAAACAGTAAGCACCGGAGATAATTCAACTCCACATGAGAGTATGCAGGTGATTGCGGGTCCAAGCATGCGCTGCCAGTAAAAACACCGCTTGGGAGCCTGAATGTCACCACATACAGTTCCTTCTTTCGCTGGTACTATTTCAGCGCCACCTCCAAGCCCTGAGAGCTATACCCCACACCCCAAGAAGCCCCACTCCTAAACCCGAAAGCCCAAGTACAGGCAAGGCCTTGGGCGTCTTCCAGGACTGCCCAAGAACCAGAGCACCCTGCACAAAAACATGAAGACATCTCCCTTGAGCTCCATCATTCACCTGAGAAGAGTCTTCAAATAAACTTGGGCAGCCCACCATAAAGAGTTGGCCTCAGCTTCTGGCCATTGATGAGCCTTCAGGCGAAGAGCATATGCACGTGGAGAAGGTCTCATGGAACAGCAAGACCTTGGATCTCTCGAAGCCTGTTCTCCATGGGGCTGAACTCGCTAAAGGAGGTCTCCTGGAATTTTGGATGACCTCCTGAGCTTAACAGCATCTGATAGCAGCCTTGTAGCTTTATGTGGCCTTTCAGGACAAGTGCCACAGTATCGTATCCCACATAATATTGTGGAGACTCCGCCATAAGCGCTTATAAAGCTTGGGAAGCATGAAGAGCAATGTGCATGTATCAAGCCAAAGGAGTGAAAGGCAGCAGAGGTAAAGTCCCTAAATTGATTTGGGGTCTATATTGGGGACCTTTCGGTCGGATATAATCGCGATTTAAAATTGTTTAGTGCCTCTGCCACAAGACTCAGAGGAATGCTGACAATGCTCAGCAGGGATGAGAGCTGTCAGTTCTGACTGCGCAGAAAAAGCTACAGCTTTTCTCGTAAGACTGCCTGCATCGTTTGGCTCCGCGAACTCTGCGGTCCTAGCACAATGATTTGTGGCAAGTTCGATGTATCCTCTGAACTGCACGTGAGTGCGCTGAGTTTGAAGGTGCATGCAGCTCAGCTTATGCGGAATAGTGCTGAATTCCACGTAGACAGCATGGCCAGAGAGGCAAAACCACCTTCTTTTATCAACGTTAGGTCTACGAATACGCACTTCAAAGATGAACTTGCGCCACTGCTACAAGACTTCTTCTGGAATGTTCTAACTCATGTTGGAAGCGCTCGAACGAGGAGCTGCACCAGTAATTATTGCACCACACACATGGGACTATTGCGAGGGATCCGCCTCCAAAAGTGGCTGCATACCTGTACATGGATTAAAACCCTTCTGCGTTCTTAGTTTATGGGTTCATATGTCGTTTGCAGCTTGAATGCCGACGCCGTCGGGCACTGCCATAAAGGGCCTTCATCAAACTTGGGCGGTTTCTGGCTGCCAGGACAGAAGACAAGATGAGGGACAGTCAGGTCACAAGCGGTCCCTTCTTGATCAAATGGACTCAGACACACGGTTGATCGCTTCAGCCTCCACAGCCCAATAAGTGCCCCTTGTGAGGTTCTTCTGTTACATAGATGAGCCAGCCTTGTGTTTGAGATCACATAATAGGGTCCCCCTCGAAATCGTAGCCATATTCCATCATGCATTCATGCAGGAGCCGGAGCTTTTCCAATCCACTGAGACGATGCTCGTTGGCAGCCATTTGTGGCGTTAAGATTGCATGCGGCAATTCATTCATGGGAACCATTGAGCTCCCTTCATTGCAAGGGCTCCAACTGACGCAACAGCAGTATCATGCTGGTGGAGGGTCTTCTGATGTCTTCTGTGCTCATGGAGGCCATCAACATGTCAAAGCCCTACACCCTAGCATCGAAGTCTCAGGAGTTGCTACAGCCACCTCAGACTCCAAGTATCCCCAAGCTCCAGCACCAGGGTCACCAGCCTGGTTGAGATTGAGATTGTATTATGCCCACCTGAACCCCAAAAGTATGTAGAATAATGGCCTTTTGGGCTATTATTAAGGGTTTTGGGCGATTATTCAACTTACTCTTGGGGTTTAGGCAGTACCCAGTCGCAGCCATGGCATCGAGTTTTCAAGCCGAGCTCCTGGGACATCTGCAAGACACCGTCGCAGCGGGGCAATCACTTTCGCCGCTCGGCGGACGCCTTTTGTGCCTGTTGTCAAGTTTACCTGTAGAGACTCAAGGATTATGTAAAGGTATTGGGACTCTTTTTGACCTAGGAAGTGTGCCAGAGACATGTGTTCGATGCTGGCTGTTTCTGCGCAAGTCTCATGTTGCGTGAGCAGTAGCTTGACAGGCAAGTTCACATTAGCATCTCCAGCAAATCTCTCACCACAACAGCAGTATTGCGGCAAGCGAGAACTGGATGGACGAATGGCTTGATACTTGCTCATGTAGCTACTCTCATTGTAGCACATTCTAGGCCCGCGACCCTGGTCTGAGTATGTAGGCCTCTGTCTTGCGTGCTTGATGTGAGTCATTGCTTGCTTGCTTTTGCACAGGAGCATCCTCTGCTTTGAATTTGATGCATCACGGATCTGCCGACTCCCTTGTTACGTAGCAGACCCCCCAGACAAACAATGGGGGCACTGTTCTGAAGTTTTGCTTACTGGTTCTTGGTTGGGAATAAGGAAAAATTTGTTAAGGAATCTTTTAGGGATAATATTCCCTTACTCCCCACTTCCAACCACCCCACCTTCAACCAGTAAGTTAGGGGGTAGATGCTCAGGGTGTTGTGGGGACGTGGAATTGTGTATGAGGCCTCCTCTGCAGGTAGTCGGCGGCATTGTGGTGGCTCAGCTGCCGTGGAATTTCAATAAAGGGGCATGCCCAATCTGCAACTTGGAATCAGGATCTGGTAGACACACAGTTTGCCTTCGGTTGTTCAGCAGATGATGCTGCATGCGCCACTGGCAGCAACACTGGTCTTTCTGAGTACCATGTATTAACATGTTTTGACCAAGATCATGTTTACGGCCTTTACCTATGACGTTGCCTTTGCAAAGTTTTCCTAAACCCACAAACCTCTTGCAAGGGTCATATGGGTCTGGAGTCACGTTGCTGAATAGCATGTGCAGGGGCCGGGTTCATCGAACATCTTTATGGGACATTTCGTGTCATGGAGAAAAGGTCCGAGAACAAAAAAAACAACAGGTCAACGAGTGCTCAGTGTTGGCCGAAGCCTCCGCTGGGTCTTACACTCGCTCAGGCCACTGCCCGCACAGATGAGTGGTGGGAGTTCTTGAAACCAGTGCTGTATAGTTCTCACAGGAATAACATCCTATAGTCTTTTTTCTAAGCCATACAACCGTATATACATATATATATATATATGTATATTTACAGATGTATACATATAATATATATATATATAGATGTATATATATATATATGTGTATATTCATATTAGGGGATGTTAGAGGAGAGTATTCTGGGGCTTGTTGAGGGGGATACTGGGAATTTAGACTATGGCTCATATATTGTTTTGCAGGTTCCCGGGATGCAAGAGTTTTGAGTTTCAGGGGAAGATGAGGATGATCATAGAGCAGGTTTGGCTTCCAAGCTGGGATACGGTTGATGCAAGAAAATCCTGCGCCCATTCCTTGAATTCCTACAGAAGCTACATGCCCTAAGTGGCGCAAGGTTTCCAGCATCAAAAGCAAGATTGGATCACTGTGTTTGGCTTGGTTTTGCCATTCCAGGGAGTAGAAGCATTCAGATAGGTTTCCTATGTTGGCCGCAGCTTTAGATGGCTACTGCTATCTATTCCTGCCATATTGGCGTTGCTTGATTGCTTGGATTCGAGTTTTACAGTGTAATGGTTGCTATCCCTCCTGTTAGAAGGAGTATGGCTGAGATTTCTGCATTTGATCATAAACCTGTACGGGGCTAGTGAGCCGCGCACAGTCAATCAGCGAAAGAAGTGTCGAATGCGATTTAGCCAGTGTTCGAACCCAATGTGCTGGCTAGCCAGCCACTCTGACAAATATGAGGACTCTCAGGACACGCCAAGTTTCTGGTATCGCCATGTCGGATGCAGTGCCGGTCATTGCAATATCTAAAAGCTGCATCATAGATTCAATAGCGCTGGCGAAAAATGTGCAGCTTCTTACCCAGCTGTCAACTGGTGACAGTACATGGGCAGGCCCCTCAGGCGCTGCATGTTGTTCTGATCTTCCGTATGCTGCCTTCTGGGCTGGAAAGCTCTTTTGCAGCAACATGCAAATGAACTGGCAGAAAACAGGAGGTCACCCCAGCTATAGAATCAAAACTGGTTTCTTGTTGTAGGCCTTACTCTAAAAATCCAAGTCTACAAATAGTGCCTAGATTGGGCCCTAAAGTTTGTAAGTATTCCCTACATTGGGCTATCCAATAAGTGCAACTTGAAGCCATGGACTCACGGTTCGTTCTGCTCTTCCTGATCACTCCAAGGGTGTTCGGAGGCGAACTTCGATCCAAATGGCAGCTTCCTCCTGACATTTTGAAGCTAGGAAGCCCAGCGGTACCCTTTTGACCTTTTGGGTTCTGGGTTCCTTTATTAAATTGACCAACTGTCATATAAAAAAGGTACCATTATTGAAATATGTTTACTGGGCTACCAAGGAAGGGTGTATCAAACACCTCAAACACTACCCCTGCAGCCGGATTGGAGATACGTGTGGCTAAAGGTTTGGGATCCAAGGCAGGGGAATTTTGAAAGCATGCCCCTGACGCCTAGGACACCTCATTCCATGCCTGTACCTTGGATACTACCCCACTCAGTAAGAGCTGGGTGCTATTTAACATATGCTTATAGCCCTTAATAGTGCCCTAACATAGACTGTTATTGGGTGGGGGCAATATCCAACTGATACCTCCTGCTTCTCCAGGGCTATGGGAAAGTACGACTCTCCATCGTGGCCTCGAGCCGTGAGGAGGCCTCGGACTTCCCTTTCAGCTACCGGGAACAGTTCAGGTACCGATGGACTGAGCACTACCTGCTTAGCTCCCTCCTCACGCTACTCGGCCGTCTTCTAGCTGGCTGCAAGCTAGCGCTGCACTTTCGGTTGCACATGACTAATCCTAAGCTCAGGAAGGAGGAAGGTGGCCTGTTCTGATATTTATTTTGAGCCCTCGCGATGATAAACTAAGGCTTCAGCCAGGATCCAACAGGATCAGCCTTGCCGGCCAGACCGTGAAGATTGATTTGCCTCCGGAGGCAAACGGTCTGACTGCTTGTCAGGTAGCTTCCTACGGATCAAAAAAGCCCAATGAAGGTAAATATCAGATCTTTAGGGCCCAATGTAGGTAGCATTTGTAGACTTGGATCCCTACATGATTAACCCCTATATCCCCAGCTTCCATGTCATTATCCACCTTCTTGTCCATGTCATTCTCCATTATTTGTATATTTGGATCCCTATATAGCACCATATCTGCAGCTTCCATTTCATTCTCCATTTGATTTTCCATTCGATTCTCCATTCATTGTATACTTGTATCTCTAGTGGCTTGCATGTGGTTGCGAGCTTGATTCGCATGCCCAGCCTTGCTGAGACACAGGACTCTGGCATTCGGGCAATCTTTGTGTCCGACCCCTGCTTCTCGTCAAAGCACGTGGTGTGTTCATACAGTTCAACTTTCCAGACTTTGCAGAGATCCACTGATCTTTTGAATGCAGTCTTTCAAGACGAGTCCATGAACTTGTTTGGAATGCTGGGTGCAGCTTGGCGAAACGGATGAGCCCGTTTTGTTTGTTTGGGGCTTGCAGTCGGCTTTAGTTTTAGCGGCCCATGCCAGTACTTGAAATCATTGCAATTACTTCGCCGAGCAGGGTCAGTGTTGCACAGGACAACTTCTACGATCAGGGTGGAGACATTTCAACAGATTTCTTCTCCCGCGTGTCCCACAATGTGAAGCGTCGTTTCTGGCTGATTGTAAACGGCAATCATGACAACTGGGTTTGCGGATTCCCTGCATGCGCGAGCCAGGCGGACAACTTTGGTATTGGTCAGATGCAGTACTATCCGATGGACTCGGTGGCCTCTGCAGACGGTAACCAACTGTTTGATTTCGACTTAGACCCAGACAGTCATCCGAAATGGAATTCTTTCCTGAACAATGGTTCGAACTTCCTCTTCTACCACAAGTTGGGCAATGTGGCCTTCCTTGGCTACTCTGGGGCGGCAAGCTACGAAGAGACGCTCCCACATCTGCAAGCCGCATGCCGATACTTCGCAGAGTCGAAGCCGGAGATAATCTTCTTGCTTGGGCACTGGAATTCTGGAGGGCTGGGATGCACCAACAGCATGAGCGTGCCTTCGATCTACGAAACCCTCCTCACAATCCCCGAATGCGCGCCTTTTAGATCGCGTTTGAAGTACATGGATGGGCATGAACACTGCAACTACGTGCAGGCAAGCGATGGCGACAATAAGTATGGCTTCATGATAGGTGGCCATGGCATGGCAGATGTTGGATGCAGACCTCAGTACGGCTTTGCCTACTTGGACACCACGCAAGGCTCAGCTAAGCTCTACTATTTTGAAGTTGGTGGTGGTAGCAGATGGGGAACCCTGACGTGCATGGTGCTTGGCTTAGGCGTGGGAGTTGCTCTGGGGATGCTGGCGGGGCTGGGGCTGACAAAGCTCTTCCAATGTGCAATGAACCGGAAGAAGTGCATCTATGTGGGCTTCAGCATTCTTGGGGTCGCGCTTGGAGTTGTTGCTGGATTCTTTCTGGGAGTCTTCATTGTGAACCCTCTGTTTCCGACAGAGGATAACTTTCATGATATCATGAACTGCCTGCAAACGAATGGCGGCCTTCATGCCTGCACTCACCTTGCCAGTGAGTGGCTCAAGCAGCCCATCAAAAACTCCTCTTCTCTTTGGGTTTAGAGCAGGCCGAGGGGCCTGCCTTAAGTTTCCTACGGGCCTCAGAGCTTGCCAAGGGCTTGCCTTGGCGGAGGAGTGTGGACATACAGGACAGCGTGTCTGCACCAGCCTGATGGTCTTCGAAATGTACAGTCAGCCACAGAAAATGGGCGACTTCCGCTGTTTGAGGGTGGGATAAGTGCGAGCTACTGCCGCGAAGGATAAGACTTGTTGTAGCAAAGGAACAGCATCAACTCCATGCCCATTTAACTCCTCGAGTCGGCGGATTGCCTTCTGTCGCAAATCGCTTCTCTAGACCGCAGACCAAATCACCAACGGCTTGTTCTCGTTTGTTCAGCTCGTGATAGCACTGGCAATCATGAAGAATCGTTTTGCGGCAAGCAGTTCATATTAGTAGCAGCAAAGAGTATACCTCTCACCGTCAACGCTTTCTGGCCCTGTTGCAAGTAGCCGTGGTGTTTGTTTCACAGGTGCCAGCACGGCCACAGCAGCTGCGAATCCACCCGGAAACCTGCGCTGGGGCTACGCAACTGGGCTCTCTTTTTGGGCCGCTGTTTGCTAGTTGAAACTTTCTGTCCGCCTGAAGAGTCAGGAATTGCATTGTCCGACTTGATGAAGGCTTTTTGTTGATTGCTGACTCTTTTCTTTTGTCCTTTGGCTCGACTTTGGTGCATTGTTGTAAATGAACTTTACATTCCGTCTTGATTTATGGGCCTTGCTTGCATGAGTTGATAAAATGTGTCCGCTGTAGATAGTTGATATTACTGGCCTCAGGTCCATTTGCCCAGGTTTTTTCGAGCATCTGGAGCATTCAAATGACAGCCCTTGGGTCATTCCCCCTCCCAGTAACTGTCCTTAGAGGGGCCTTAGTAAGGGGGCGATGACAACTTACCCATTGTGGTAACAGTTACTGGAAGGGGGAATAACCCAACCTATATGACAGTCTCCAGCCCCCTAAGCCCTACACCCTAAACCCCTAAACCTTATATCCCTATATAACAGTCTCCAGCCAGGACCTGTAAGGGGTAATGACCCAGCCCAGGCAAGCATTACCAAGACGCTGGTTGGGGTCGTGCTGCTGCTTGGAGATGATCTTTTCCCTCGGGGTCTGAATGTTTATTTAGCATTGAGCTATAGTCTAAACTCCTTACAGGGGGTTATATAGGGGATTATATAGGAGACTAGTATAGGGGGTTATTAAGGGGGATACTAGGAGTTTAAAGTTTAGACTATAGCTCATTTGGGTACTCCAAGGCTTTGAAGAAGTAATGGTTCATCGTAACTTGATGCCCGATTCCAGATACTTGAACCTTCAGGGGAACGATAAGGTAGCAGCTACAGCGAGAACATGCGAGAACAGTCCGAACAATGCCGATAGCATATCGGACGCACACAGGAGTACTTTCGGATCGATATCACAAAACAACCTGAGTCAGTTAGCCATGACTATGGGAAGCAGTTGGGGATGTTGTCCTCTGACGGAAGCCTGGCAGTCTCAATTTGTGCGTCATCAAAATGAGACCAACATGGTTTAAGGAGATTCATTATGCATGGACACCTTGAGGCCGAGTATTCTGTTGAGGTACTCCCTGTGGCACCCAAGCAGATCTAAGGCAAATGCTGATGGCCAACACAAGCCTGCCTGAGCTTTCCTGGCACGATGTGATTACGAAATGGATTCCGCAACTTGGTCCATTGGAATTTGAGACCTGCAGAAGCAGACTGGGCTAGTATGTGTAGCAATCTGTTGCCGCTGGGCTGGAGGTATAGTGGTTGTGTATTGAAGCCACACGGGTCTTTCCACCTCAAGACTTTCTTGATCTTTTGTGGTGCGAGGTCTTGTTCATGTTGGCTCATGCTCACGTAGCCAGACATTCCTGTACAAAACTGCCCATGCAAGGTATGCTGCAGGAACCGCCTACGAAAACGTTACGCTTATGGACCTGGCAGCGCACACTGCAGCTGGACAGCATACCTTGGTTTGCTGAAACTCACAGAAAGAGCGACGCTGACATCAGGATACCAGCTCATGAGTTGCTAGCGCAACTGCTACTGCTAACATACAGGTTCTCTCAGCAGGCCTTGCACCAGTACTCGACTGCTGCTTCTGGTCGTGCTAAAGTTAGTAGTTAGAGCTGCTGCACTGTCACTTTTTCTTTTGCTGTTACCAAGTAGATTCTACTAATCTACTGCTGGTTGTGGTAGTTTAGCTACCATGCGACATTGCGCCTTGGTGTTTAAAGCGGTCCTCCTGCTCCCCACATCGTTGCGGCCTCAAATTTAGATGCATTTTCGACGGTTGCCCTCACCACGCGGATGGATTTTGGAGCCTTCGCCAGGCTCCCCCGAAAAAGTGCCCTCAGCACGTGTTTTTCTTTTGGGGAGTAAACTTGTTCGTCTCGGGTCCAAGTTCAAAAGCCATGAACACGTCAGATGTGATCTGCGGACTCCCAGCAAGATGCTGATGCTGTGCCCAGGGGGTAAGTGGGGGTGGAGGTGGTGATACGGGGCCACCATGAGTATTACTGTAGGCTCCTGGGCATTCTGTCCTCCTGCCCATGCCGCTGAATCGGAGGGTGCGAACATAGCTCAGACTGTAATTGGACATGCTGGCCAGGCGAGGTTGGGTTTTGGCTGGAAGATCTTCTTACTGGGGATTACTAGGGTACAGGAATGAGGGTACATATATTCTTTGGGGATTATATAGGGGTAATAGTCCCTTATTCCGAGTAAGTGATGGGACAAGCAGCTGTGTCTCCAGTACTTGGGCCACCACCTGGGCTTTGATACGCGCCTGCAACCATGCTTACTGTCCTTGTTGCTGTTTTGTATGATTCATGCCTTTTTCCGCCGCCACCACCGCCTCATCCGTGGTGACGACGATGTTGACAGCGACGATGGAGATAATGATTGGATTGATGGATGGTGTAAGCGAGAAGCACAGTACCATGACACTATGATGCAGTATGTGGCAGTACGTAGTCCTTAGACAGCAAGTCCCTCGTTTGTCATTGTCCGTTGCAGGCGTGCATTCTTCCAGATGGAGCACCGGGATCTCAGGAGCTATGGAACCAGGCGCGCATTGCATGGCAGCCTTGGTACATCAAGCCGAGAGCAATCAGAGGGTACATGCATCATCTTCTGGCTCCCAACCAGGCTTGTAAAACTTGTTGCTCAAGTACACTTGCTGTGCCTGCTTTTTTGGGATGGCATTGGGTGCAACACCTGCTGGAAGTACATGACCGAGGCCGTTTCTTCGTAACTGCAATCTACGCCTTGATTCATGCAATTACAATGAGGTTCTCTGCTCACCGCATTACTCCTTGGTGTTGAACCAGTAACCGCCATCCCGTGTGAGTTGAGCGGATCCCTGCATAAAGTTTCCGATGCGCACGCCAATAGCCATATCCATTCACTCCCTTACCCCTTTAAAACCCTAAACCCTAAACCCTAAACCCTAGAAGAACCACGGACAGGCCTGCACAGAGACGGCAAGGGGTTGGCTTGTATTCTGCGGATGAGCGTGTCAAGGTCTCAAGCTTTCATTCCATCATCGAGGGATCTGTCAAAACCATGGATTCCCTGGCTTGGGCTCCAGAATGTTTGGTTTCTTCAGGTGCTGGGGGCAAAAAAATCCGATTTTCATCTTGAGAAACAGTGCTGCCTACAGTTGCAGTTGGTTACAATTGACCATCCCTTTCAACCTTCACCGAACTTCAAGAAAACAGACCCCAAACCCCAAACCTTGGCTTACAAATGCTAAACTACCCGACCAGGAACCCTGGTTCCTGACATCTTAACCCTAAACGGTAACCACCCCACCCCTAAACCCTATCCCAAACCCGAAGGTATCCAAACCAAAGTGCCCCTCTACACCTAAATACTGTAGTAGTTTCCATTTTCATTTCCATTATCTGCATATATCCCCATATAACTGCAACATATCCCCAATGCATACCCAATATATCCCCAATATAACCCCAATATGGCCCCAACATACAATATACCCTCCCAATCCCTGGGTCCTGCAGGCGTGGGCCGCTTCGGTCTCGGGAGGCGGCATCCGTGCCGGGACAGCGCAGCTGGGACTTTGATGATGGCTTTGTCAAACCCCCAAACCCCCAAACCCCTAAACCCTAAACCCCCAAACCTCTAAACCCCTAAACCCTAAACCCGGTTAAGGGCTGTGAGGTTCGGGATCTCAGGGGCTTGGGAGTAAGGGCTTAGAGTCTGCAAGGAGTTTACCACATGTATATCAGAACCAAAAAGAGCCCCACCCACATTGGTGGACCTGCATGAAATCCTATCTGAAAAGCTGCGCGGATAGTGAGTAGCAAGTCCCAGGTTTTTGGTGAACCACTCTTTGCAGTATGGGCCGCTTGCGAACTGCATTCCTGGCAAAGCCACAGTCTCTGAGCTGCGTATCAGGGACGTAGGGTTTTGTGGTCGCAGAAGGAGTAGGAAGGCCCAGGGTACCTTTTCAACCCTTTTGGGGATCGGGGTTCCTGTGTAAAGGTAACCCGCATTAAGCAACAATGTAGAGGGCACCATTATTGTAATATGGTTGCTAGGCTACCAAGAATATCCCACGGATATTACTGGTTTCTTGCCAGCCTTATCTAGTTAGCGCACGGAGCAGCTGTGGCTAAGGCAGGCTTCCTATTTGAAATGGGATCTTTTCTGTTCATGTGCGGTTTAGGGAGTAGGGCTTAGGGTTTTTGCAGTTCTAAGTTATCCATGGATGCTTTCCACTTGAGTTGTTTTTCTTGGCAGATACAGAACCGCCACTGCCGTTGCTGACTGGTGCAAGAATATCCTTATGATTGAGCCACAAATCAGCAAGGAACAGTCAGACATGGATAGAAGCAAGCGCCGAGAGGTAGCGATGTGAAAATGCACTCGGATCATGTATTCCTTTGCTGCCACAGTTCCCCTTGGCAGAAACAAAATCCTCTGGAGTACTCCTGGTCATTATCGCATCGGCGATGTCTAAGAACATTGCA